TTTAAGTATTAGTTGGATACTTTTAATGGTCAAACATATTTAATATTTATTTATTAAAATATCGTTTTGATGTCTGATTGGAAACAGTATAACTACTTGTTTACGATCCGATCTATTCATGAGAAGTTGTAGGTACAATAACCATTTCATGAAGTGGAAACGGTAAATAATATACTGTGTGATGTGTGTTCATAAAAACACTTACTGAGTAATATAATATATTATAAATATTTAAGTACCTAATTTTAAATATAAAAAAATGGGTGTCGCTCTGCTGTACAGCAGGCTTACAAGTGGGTCACTGTAATGGGTGGTGTTAAATTTGAATTCAATGATATAATATCATTGTATAAGAAAAATGATCCTGAGCGAAAACGGTCAGTCAGACTATGATAACAGTATATTACTAAGTATATTTGATGATATTATTGTGAATAAATTAATTTATATATTTACCTATTTACTTTGAACATTGTTTCAAATTTTCAATCATTAGCTATAAAAGTTGAACATTTTATAAATGTTTAACTACAAAATAATTACCTATTAAATTTTAAATTTGATAAATGCTGTCAAAATTCGAACTTTAAATGCTTATAAAAAAATTTGTGCCTATGTATTTTTAATATTTTTCAACTGCCATTTAAGCAATATATCAGGAGCCTTGCATTAAATGTTCACGCTTTTTACCCAACAAACAACATTTTATTGATATTTTTAGAAAAAAAAAAAAAACTAAAGATATTTAAAACTGACAATGTCCGTAAACAGCTCAAAAAGAGTCAAAATATTTTCAAAATGTTTTATTGTATAGAAAATGAAATTATAAACATTCAGTAAAATTGTCATGTATTTACAGTTAATCGTTTTTGAATAACAATAAAATAACAAAACCACTACATGAGAAATCCAGTGAATATCAAAATTTGTACCATACAAATATGAATTTCAAACGCTCATAAAAATTTGATTTGATTTGCTTGTAGACATTTATTTTGTTGATAAAAGTAGACAAACTTATGAGGAATTCCGTATTACTTTTTAAAATCTTAGATTTTAAAAGAAAAATTATTATGTATTCTCAACTCAAAATAATTTACTAATTTTCTTGATGTTTTCGTAGTTTGTCAAGATTTGAACTTTAAATGCTTATAAGTTATAAATAAAAACTGTGACTAAGGATTTTTAATATTTTTCAAATGTCATTGTAACAATATAGTAGGAGCCTTGTATTAAATTTAAGCTTTTTTACCCAACAAATAAAGTTTCATTGACATTCATAGAAAAAAGACTAATAAAATTGGTAACAGAAAATGTTCCTAAACAGTTCAAAACAAATCAAAATATTATCGTATATAGAAAATGTAAACATAAACAACTAGTGAAAATGTCATGTATATATATAAGTTCATTTGTTTTAGAGTTACACCAAAAACCAAAATTGATTTTTTGAAAATTTCCGTTTTTCCTTAATTTGTATGTTGTTTTTTCCCCGTCGCTTTTGAAAACTAGGTATAGGGAATTTTAAATTTTGACCTCCCCAATGCACCAACAATATTTCCTTTCCCATTGTACAAGATACTGAGGTTTAAAATCGAAACATTATTTCAACTACTTATCGTGTACACAGCCACAAAAAAAAAAAAAAAATACATTATTGTAAAATCAATACATTCATCGTTCCACTCAGAATGTAAAAGAATCACTTGTTACCAGCTATACTAAAGTCTATACTACCAAAGTCCCACAATTATATTTTAAGTTTACTATTTACTTTTTTATTCTTGTGAATCTCAGCGGATGTTTAATTAATTGTTACTTACTAGTTACTACTATCGACTCCGGTCTACGGCGGACTAACCGAGAGATTTATTTCGAAATTTTTCATATTTTGTTTTTCGTGCAATGTATAGAATACACAATTTTTAATCTGTGTTTTGTTACTTTTGTTATTTATTAACATTTTATAGTTAATTATTAGTATGTCAATTTGAACATGTTAACTTAATACGAGGAATTTTTTCGGTAGGTACGAGAAGTTAATAAATCAAGAAAAAAGATTTAATGCATATTTGATTGCATATTTTAGTGTCTGCGCATACTTCACTGCATATTTTAACACTAACAATTAGTAATAAATTTTTTTATTTAATCTTTACACCTTCATACGCTCTCAGTAATTGGTTTTATTTTTTAGATATAGCTTTTCTCTAGTTATTCTATGTTCTATAATATTAATTTGTAATTATATTCAATAGATACCTACATTTTTTATTTTTTAGAATTATTTACTTGCATACATAATCATCTTGTGTATCATATATCTGTTTTCAAAATTCTTTGTAAATTTCCGTAATTATCAGCATTTTGTAGACCACCAGTATATCAATATTCAATATAATTATAAAGTAAAATTGTATTTTTATTTTTTAGTATTTCATTATATTATGACCATTCATCTCCCAATCATGTTTTTAATTATCAATCACCTTTATCATCAGATGATATTGGACGATATGTCTTCTTTTTTTTTTTTTTTTTAATAAAGAATAATTTCTATAGATATTAATATTGATCTTATACTTATTGTATTATTTTTTTATTTTTTTAATAAAACTATCAATTATTACAATAAAAAAGTTCTAAAATAAAGTACATGTTTATTATTGTTTGTTTGAACACGCTATCTCAGGAACTACTTGTTCGAAATGAAAAATTATTTTTGTGTTGGATAGTCCATCTATCGAGGAAGGCTATCTAAGCTATATAACATCACGCTATGACCTATAGGAGTCCGGGGAGGGGCTCAAAGAGGCATTTTGAGATATATGATGGAAATTTTTGTTTATAAATGGTTGCTATTGGTTATAGGAGAAATAATTAGTATAAATAATATTCATTTATTACTGGTTGCGGTTGATTAATCGACAGATCCGGTACAAGAATGCATCAAATCAAATTTTTGCACATTGCTTACGAAGTGGCGGAGTTGCACTTATAGCCGCTCATCGCCGTTGTCCGGGGTGGCTGAGTTGCATTTACTGTAGCAAGTTGCACCCAAAAAAAGCTGAACAATCACAATTTTGTCCTTTTTTATGGGCCACAAAGTGCGATGGATCAGCTAGTGTTTAAGCTACTAACTAAACACAATCAATTTCCAAACTATTTTTGTCTTTAATATGTTATTTACTTATAATTTTTAATCAAGTTAATTTGTTTATGTTATGAACTCATGAATCACGATTCATCCAACATTTTAATTTTATTTGTGCTTTTATTAGGAAAAAGACAGTTATGGAAATGAAGTTTCTAAATTAGCCCGTCCATTACCTGTGGAGTATTTGTTACTAGATGTACCAGCTTCAACACCCTTAACTCCATTGAATACGTTCACATCAATTAAAGACATCACAAAATTCCCTGTTGAAAATAGATTAATCGATGGACATATTCAAGACTTTGATTCATTGTGCAAATACCTAAGACAATTTACTCCGTTACAATTTTACGAGTCTGTTTCTGATTTTCATTTACTATTGTATATTGCTACTATGGATATGCTGCCCATGAAAGTAATTTTTTTTTAATATTTCATAATATTCTTGTAAATAACAAAATATTTTTTTTAGGATTCTATGGCTCCACTGTTAGAAGCAATACAAGTTAATGATAAACAAGCAGTGGTTGAATGGTCCAAATCAGATGTGTGGGCAACACTCGAGCAATTGATCAGTAATACTTCAGATTCTGCAGTATCGGGTCATGTAGGTAATGGTTTTGCATCTGCACAGACAGAATCGTGGACATGCATACATTGCACCTTTATGAATAATTCTGATCGGCAATCATGTGATATATGCAGATTGCCAAGGGATATCAACTAAATGTTTTATAACAAACATGTATCTCATTCACAGTAAATATAATTATATATAAACATATTTTTTTATGCATTGTTTATTATATTGAAAAAAAGAACTAAATAACACAGGTAATATTATGTAATGAACTTTTGTTTTGTTGTATTGAGCATAAAAATGTAAGTATATAAAAAATACAAAAAAAATGGTGGATTACCACAAAGTAAAAAAATTTCCAATTTTAATTAAGTTTTTTAATTTCAATAGAAATTTATAGTAATTTTTATCTTTATTGTACTGGTATTTTATTTTGATTGATTTTTCTAAATAATATAAAAATTGAAAACAATAAAGTTTATACCAAAGTAAAAAAAAATATGACTTCATTTCTTAAAATGTATGCAATACAATATTAAGGGCCGTTCTTACAATGTTCGATTAAAGTTAACTGACATTTAACCTGCCGAATTCTGCCGATAATAAAATCTCTTATCAGTCGGTTAACAGAGACTTTATCGAACATTGAAAGAACGGCCCTAGATATTGTAGGTATTTATATTTTCCTGATATTTCTTTTTATCCAATATCATTATTGAATAATACTAAAAATGTCTATTTAAAATGGTATTTGTATAATACCATATAAATATAGATAAATATAGTTAACAATTATAAAATTGTAAAATGTATTAAGGTTATTTTAATAAACCATCTTACAATTAAATATTTATACCTTTGAATAATTATATGAAAAATTATGTACCTAGCTACATTTAAATCTGATTCCACATATTACGTAGGTACTAAGTTTTCCTGGTAAAAATCAAACTACAATCAATCTACAGTCACATCCTGCATTTAATGTATAATTATTGAAAATAATATTGTACAATTTGTTAACATTTAAGCATATTATAATATTGAGTCTTAATACTTAACATTTAAAAATATATTGTTTAAATATATATTTTATAAAATATGTCACAATTGTTGAAGAAAAGGCAGATCGGAAAAAATATATATAATATTAAGACAAACGATTTAACAAAAATTTAACAAGCATGCAAGTTTCATATAACTGGAGGAAACTCTGAATCGTCGTTCAAGTTAAATCGATCTTCGGATACGTCAGTCAAGCTGTCAACATGATTCTCTGCATCTGTAATAAATAATTATAGTTTATTCAACAATTGTATAATATGTGATTGAATTGCTCAACATTGTAATATAATATATAATGTAATATTTTGTCAATGTACGTATTTTGTTGTCTAATGAAAAAATCACAAATGTTATGAGTTGTTATGACAAATACCTGACTGACTGGATGGGGATGTCCCTGAGGGCACCAGCATAACTTCCAACTGGATCTTTTTAGGTTTTATCGTAAACACAAATACACACATAGCAGGTTCATTTGAAGGACAGCAATTTAGAGAGAAGGAATCGAGCAGCAGAAAACAAAACCAACAACGGTGTCAGTCAAACCATGTTAAAATTAAGGGCTAAAGCTGCATACTCACTCGCTACAGATAGTGTGTAATCCAAGCAGTCCTTAGTCATATGATTAGTGTCTACTGCAGGCCCAGTATCTGTTGCAAACAATTTTAGAAACTACCAGTCAACGACTCATAACAAATGTTAAATACTTGTTACAAATGGAATAAGTTGATCATTTATACAACGTTTAGTAGAATATTCTAACTCATACATTTTTAATAGATATATGAAATTTCACCAAAATAAAAGCAGATATATATATATAGGACATTATGATAATTTTTTTAAAGCCTCACAATTATGTTCCTCAAATTTGTTTCAATTATATTTTTGTTTGTTTGGTATGTAAACTACTGATGTGAGTTATGATGATCAAATATTATACTAATAGTTTTTAATGATGAAATAATTAAAATTATAAGGATCAATTTCACAAACCTAATTTTGTATTGATGGAGGATTCTGTTTTCGTGGTTTTATCCAACTTGGTTGTATTGACCTCCTTCAATTTGATTGGTTTAGGGCTGTCCACTACATCTAATTGGCCATCCAGTCTAATATAGAAGCATAGTTAAATATATACCAATTTAATAATTCAAATACACAATAATTATTCTAAGACAAAGCATTTGACAAACCTATGAGTACGCCAAAGAGTACATTCACCACCCTCTTCCATATCTAAATTATAAACATATAAATATCCATGGGATGAAGCAACCAGTAACCTTAAAACTTTGTCAACCCTAAAAAAAAATAAACCAAAAGTAATTTCAAAATTATTTGTTTTCAGTAAATAGGTTACTTACATCACTATTGTACAAATATTTTTTAGTCCCTGAAACGGTAGATGAATTGAAGCTACTGCTCGTCCCTGGTTGAACACATCTGTTACTTGAGTCGGTAAATAATTAGCTGATGCAGTAACGGCTTTTGATAAAAATGACATCCAGCTTTGTTGTTCATCGGGCATTTGTGGTCTACACAGAATAAAAATATTTTATAATCATCCATTAAAAGCACATTTTCATGAATAATAAATTACATTTCTTTGGTGTCATCCAATTTGAACACATGCACTGTTTCAGTATTACTTGATGAACACAAGTACAAGCCATCAATACTGAACGCCAAGCTACAAATACTGACACAGCGCTTAACACCACGACGGAACTCATATAATTTAGCACCATCAGAAATGTTGAACACTCTAATAACTGTGCCTCGTTCACTGGCCGTCGCTATTCTATTGCCCTGGTGGCTAATGGCCATTGCCGCCAAAGGACTTTCATGAGCTGAGATCATGGACACAGATTGCTAAAATATTATCCAATTCATTTTAACTCAAAAAGTCAACACAATAAGCTTAAAATATATAAGATGATTACCAAATTGATGGCATCAAAAATTTGCACTTCACCAGTTGTACTTGAACCGGGATATGCCAAATAGCACATATCACTATTTGTAGACAGACAACAAAGTCCAGCTGGGTTAGGTGGAGTGTCTCTAATTGTGTGCAAGACCTTCATGTCATGTATATTGTGTATATACAAAGATTCCTCTAGGCATACAACTAATCTCTGCCGAAAAAAATAGATAGTAATTAATTCCATTACAGATATACTACTTTAAAGAAATAAACATTATACTTACAGCCCTGTTTAATTTCACACCTAGAATAGTGTTTGAATAGCTGTAGTTGCATATTTCATTTCCTTTTTTAAAATGGCACACTCTTAACTTACGTGGCGACGACAAGCTGACCACTGCAACCAGGCTACTGCTGAATAGCCTCTCCACAATACAGATATCTTCAGATTCTGTCACAAGTTTAAATATAATTTTTACACAAATTATTATTTTCATATTATTATTTAATTAGCTTTACCATTTTCATATATTTGGTCTAAATTATCAACGGAAGACAACGAGTATAAACGATATCCAGTCTTCGTACCAACAGCAAGTGACCTGAAACAAAATAATAATGTATTAAAAAAAAAAACAGATTGATTTTGAACATAATTTTTATTCATATTTTATAATAGATTTTAGGATTGATATTTCCATAAAAATAATTAATTAAATGTATATGTTATTCAGTTAGGGATGTTTATTCCTACGATCAGTAATTTTTTATTGCATTTTCCTGAAACTTTAAGGTTCTAAAAATAAATCGCTGAAGTAACATCTGTGTGCGTAAAATATATATAATATGTTATATACGCTTACACAAAATTGTGAAGTACCTACTCCTTATCCAAAAAAAATAAATCAATGTCTAGACGTTTTTGCCAATATATATCTTTCCACGTAAAATCATAATTTTTGCGAACCGTAATTTATACTTTAATAGTTTAAAAATATAATATAAATTATAAATACTCAGTATTCGATAATCGATATATTTTATGTAGACTTTACATTTTTTAGGCTATAATGAACGTAATCAGATACCTTAATAAAACATTATGCAAGAAGAAATATCAGGCTTTGAGGGAACAGAAATGGTTTGTCATATAGTATTGATATTTTCTTGTCAAAAACAAGTACCTATATAAAAAAAATATTAAAAACAATTCTATTATTGCTATCACAAAGCTTTAAAATATAATACAAAGTTTATCAAAAGTTGTCAGTTAAGCAAATTAAAAATATTGTAAATACATGGGCACATTTTATTTTTACGGTCAATGAAGTCAGGTACTCAGGTCTACAATTTGACATTAAATGTCATAAAATTAAGAATAATTGATAATACTCGATATTTTTGAAAAAAATTAGTTCAATCTACCGTATTTCTAATACAATATGAATTATGATATAAGTATTTACTATTCTACCATCTACCTAATGTCCTAATATATATTTAAAAATAGAAATTACGTTTAGTCTCCGTTCAGAATCGTTTTTCGTATACAATGATTTATAAATTAATTCAAATTTACCACATCCATTTCATTGACCATATAATATAACCTACACTCAATACACAAATACACACTGGTGAGACAGCCCCTCGTACAAATAAAAAAATAGGCCTCCCCAAAACACACACTATAGGTATACTTATTGCACACTGAATATATGCACTTGTAATATACCTATTTATGATCTATTTATCTGTTATAAAATATATTAAGGGAGTAAGAGCCGGTGCGTTTTTAGTATAAATACAGGGACAAATACATATTATCTTACAGGAAAAACTCTCACACTCTGTAAAATAGTCAGATTTTGTTAATTTTTTTTTTTATTTTAAAAGAAAAAAACATTTTACAGGTGGGATTGAAGCCCGATTTTCAAAATTTTATTTATAGAAGCTATAATATGCATTTGAATAATGCAATGAACAATATTTCAATTTGTTATTTTCAAAGGTTTTTTCTAGAAAGTAAAATGGAAATTCGATCTTTGATTCCGACCTGGAACAAGTTCTCATCTTTCAGATAATTAAAAAACTATCAAAATCCGACATATCAACGAGGCGTGAGTTTTTCCTGTGAAGTAATTTTTTTTGATAAAATAGGTTCTCCGTATCAACCCCCCTAAATATGTATCGGATGTAGATAGGTGGAAAAGTATTATAATTTATAACTAAGGTAGGTAACGACTAAAATATAATTTTCAAATTGTATAGAATTTCGGAAAATTGGAAAAACCGGCACCGACACCATTAATTAATAATCGAAAATCTAACTTCAACAGGGTAAATCACTCAATCACTACAAGTACCTAGGAGGGGATATATGGGTTAAACCCCCCGGAGACCAAATGTTGTACACAATACAACATAAATAATTTATAATATTATGAATAATGAATATATGTGGATACTGAATGTCTATTAAAATCTTTATATCCACCCCCCCCCCGTTAAAAACCCTAGATTGCTAATGCCAAGCACCTTATATATTTTAATCATGCATTAATTCAAAATTCGATTTTTGGAATTTTTAAAATACTTAAAGTAATAGTAGTTCATATAATATTGAGGTTGTTATATATAATCTAAGGAGTTTTGTATGATGACACAAACTTCTTTTTTCAAAGACAATTACAGTATTTTATTGCAAATTGTGAACCAGATGATTCTTTTGAAAATGTTGATATACGCGTCTATATGAAAATTCGTACGAGTAGGTTCTGAGTAATTCAACTTTATGTACCATGGGCAATAATAGGTAATAGACAATAGTCCTTATTTCATAATAACGGTTATATAAAGTATAAAATGTAAAACCGATGACATTTTTAGTCTAGCATTATTATTGTACTCAATTCTACAATATTTACAAATTAACTTTTTGTTATGTATTTATTTATTAATTAGTGGGTATATTCTTACATCATTATTTTAATTGTCTAATCATCATAACCGCCCTATCCTTTAAACCTATTATTATCTATACGACTATACCACACAAAGTTAAATAACTCATAAGCCTTAATCTACTCATAATCTACTACTTTAAATTTAAATTTTTATACCTATTATAGGTACAGCGAAGCATCGTCTTTTAAAGAGGTTTCTAAATTAGATTCAATATAGGTTGGCAGGCGGCCGTCGGTCTAAGACTCGGCTCTGAATATTATAATATTATTATATTTTAATGTTTAACAGTGTACATTTAATTATATTCAACCATTTATTGTTCTTTCAATGTTATATAACATATACATTGGAAAAAAATCAATTTGTTTTGAAAGTATTTTGTTAATATTGACACGTGTATATCAAACAAAAAACCTTGCATCGTGATTATGAAACATATGCACCGTCGCACCAAGTGGCCTTGATAGATGCACACTGCATACTGCATAGTGCACATTATAGTTACACTTGCAGTATTTGCTATTCTTTTAGTCATATTTTATTATACCAAGATAGTTATCCCTAGTTTACCAGACCTTGGTATTTAAAACGACGTATAAGGTAAGTAAAAAGCACTGCAGTTTTAAAACATTAAGAACGACATGACTAATACTAATTCGTAATAAATACTTTACCACAAGTTACAACTTAAAGTTACTATAACTCGTATAAAACATATTTTAAGTACCTAATATTGAACTATAAACCATATGCACGTATGAATAGTACCTACTATAAAAGTATATAACTAAATTATAATGTTCTTCTTTTCAAATATAATTACGAACAAAATATTTTGTGTTAATTTATTATGAAAAAAAATTAATAAATGTAAAATATCAAAGCCACGAAGGACAATAATATTATCAAATACGTAATTCAAAATGCGTGATGGAAATCTATCTAAATTTAAGTTCAATTTATTTCAAGCCTCCAGAGGTATACGAGTTCTGTATTCTATAGAACATATTTTTTGAGATGTGATATACAAACCTAATATTCCACTATACTTATGGAAAATCATTAACGATTTGAGTCTAGTCATTCTAGTTCACTATACCTACCTATACCATGTAGTAAAAGTAGCAGGTATCTTATACATGAAAAATAAGACATGCACATGGCACACATACCATATTCTTTCATTATAATATTATATTTGTTGTCAAAGGATTTAGGTTTATTACGTGAAGTTAATTTTAGTTTTAGTCAACAATTCAAATTCAAAAAAAAACTCTTTAAAATTATTTATTGGTAATTTGTATTAGACTAAAAAGGCCTTCACTTGGGGAACATTCTTTCATAATGAAAATATAACTACCTATACATATCCTAATGTGTACCGAACACATTTTTAAAAGAAATTATAACGCAATGTTGTTACACTTTTTAAAATACTCAAATATAATTTTTAAATCACTGTTAACTATATAAATAGTGAACCATATATTATAATGGTTAACCTGTATAGTTTCCTAATAATAATAATAACTTCGTATTTTAGTTTAACTAATGATGTTATTAAGAGTTATGTTTTATTTTAGAAAATTGAAATTCGATTGTTTTCAAAAATTAAATCTGACATCATATTATGAAAGTATAAAAAATAATATTAACAGATACCTATTTTATATCTGATAATAACAAATTAGAAAAACAGATTGAACGTTGATTTTGTCAGCACTAACTACATTGAAAGGAACAAGTCTACCATCCATACATTAATATTCATATTTACATATTGATATATGCATTATGCACTATGTAAACATACCAGTTGTTATATTTTAAACACGTTTTATTATATTCATATAATTACGCAATTTTAAATTTTAGTAGTCAAGGAGTATAGTATACAATAAACTGTGTTAAATGTGAACTGAAATTTCTGTATTCTGAAGTACTATTATTATCAACTAAGTACATTATTTTAGTTTATTTTTAAAGACGTTATAATTATTTTAGTAAAATACATAAAAAAATTGTACTGTATACGAAATAAATTTAAATTACAATTGATTAGCATTTAGCAATAATTTTTAATGTACAATTTGTAAGAAATAATAAGATGTATTACCTACAATAAAGAACACCGAAAAATGACCTCCACTAATAATATAACTATTTGGACAATAAAGAGTACAATCATCCTGCATAATTTGAGGAAATTATAAAATAATAAATAAATAAATGATAAATTAATTACAGTTCATTTCTAAATCTCATCAAACATCGGCGTGTTAGTGGCGGATCCAGGGCTTAATTTTGGTGGGTGGGAATTGGGGGGGGGGGCAAAAGTACGAAAATTGGCTTAACACAGTGTAAAACATAGGAAAAATACAGAGATGTGGGGGAATGCCCCCTTTGATTCCCTTGGATCCGCCGCTACGGCGTGTTTATACAAATCAACAATTAAAAGATAACTACAATGACATATTATTGTTTACTCATCATTTAACAATAACTACGCATACGGAATACATTGTTATGAAAAAAATTAATTATTAAGTATTAAAATCACGTAAGATTACCTACGTTTTTTTTTGTTTCTATTTGACACACGTATGCTGCTCAATAAAATCACGTCCTACATATTATTTAAAAAAATAATAATTGCGAATCTCGTAATGACTGCGATATTGCACTCTATATATTTATATTTATTTTTAATTTAATTGTTTTAGCACTTCCTATATTATATATTTAAACAAAATCATATTGTTAGCTCTTAGTATTTAATCGCTTTTACGGTTACAAAATGTTTAATATACATTAGTACACATAAATGATAGTGTATAGTACTGTAGTATCATTTGCACATGTTAAAGGTTATTATAATTATTATATTATTATGATTGCTTATAAGTCGTAATCATCTACGTCATAAATCATATTAATATAAATATATAAATAAATATATAGCCATATAGGTCCATCATTATATAACGAATTTATCTCCCTATACATGGAAGTTTATCCCCGGCATATATAATAATTAATATTAAATAAAAATTGTATTATTTACAAATTAACAATTAACGATTAACAGTAATGATTATATAGATAATATTAATGACAGAAGACGCTGTCTTCAAGACGGACTAGATCCTAGGGACAAGGAATAATACCACTCCCCAAGATATAAAGAGACAAAAATATAGTGATAAACCTCTTTATATGTACTGTATAGATATTAGATTATAGAGCCTTTATAAATATTATACATGATTCTAAGTTATAGCTCATACATTTTAAGCCGTAACGACGTTACATTACCCAAATCCTTAAGGACAGTTGTGTTTAATGTCATAATTTCGTTTTATCTCAGTCACTTCAGATCATGTCAGAAAACAATTAATAAAACACTCGTAATGAAATATTTTGCTCTCCGAATTGCATCAACAGAATCAGATATATAAATATTAAATTTAAAATAACTAACTATTAATAAGTTAACTTTATACAGAGTGATTATCCAAGCATGCTCAATGGATTACCTTCATTTTTCCTTTAATAATGAATTTTATCAAATTCTATTTTTTGGGATTTTTTAGTATACTTAAGGTAAGTCAAGGCTTATATTTTTAGACTTTTTATACAACTGCACAATATAGTCTTATGCCATAGGTACTTATTTTTTTCAGTAAATTTATGTTAGATGACTTTTTTGAAAATTTGATGTATCTCAATCGAAATTCGTATGAGTCATAAATTATGAGTTATCGAATAACCCAGAAATACAGAATTTAAAAGAAAAAATTGGTGATCATGCTGGTAACTCATCTTGCATATAATTTAAAATTTCATGCCACGTTGAAAATACTAATTTCACAATAAAAGATCCCTCGAATGTTTTAAATAATATTCCTGTACCTATAGGATTTATTTTAAATTTCTAAGGTCAACTGGTCAATTACATAACTATATATAACAAGTCCTCCACACTCGTTGTGAGAACCACTGAATAAAAATTTACAATTTAATGTGCAGGTGTGTATTATGGCCGTGTATGAATCGAGGAGAAGTATATAACCCCACGCACAGAACACAGTAGATATATTTAGGGAAAGTATCACTATCATTATTGTTTTATACGTCATATTATCTACATATTAACAATATAGACAAGAGAATAACAACGCGAAAACACTATTGAGATCGGATATACGGCTATACAATAGAATGATGATGGCTGATGAGTGATGCAATTTAATAAATTGCATACCTACGACTATGTATAGGTAGTTAAATATTTATAACAATATAAATAATTGTATTAATATTAAGTATGGTTGTAATTTATACAAAAATTACTTAAAATTCTATAATAAAAACTAATTGGTCCTACGCGCTGGTCGACCGCTGCGTATATACTATATAGATATATATTATTAATTATTTTTTATAGATATAATATTTATTGGTTGAGCGTTTGTAAAATTGCATAATTAGATAGATGGCAAGGTAAGAAATGACTCATTGTCGAAAAAAAATTGCTCAAATCATAATAACAATCATCAAACCTTGGGTTTATGAACCGTAACTTTGGGCGGCGTGGAAGTAAAACAAACGGCGATCGTACTAAATATAGTATTAGTACAGGCTGGCCATACAATTTCTTATAATATAGAGTATAATATATACGTAATATCATTGATTTTAAATACTAGTATTTAATACCTATATATAAATTATATCGATACGTATGCCTAAAGAGTAATGGTATATTATTAATAATATTATATGGATCGTATTAATATCGGAATGCGTGAGGAGGATAATGTGGTAGGTCGTAAGTATAATAATTATAATTAACAGATCCTGGATCGCGTCAAGCCACTAAAGGCAAACATTTTTTGTTTGCAAATCCAACTGAAATTTAGGGAATAACGTTTTGTAACATGACAATATAAATATCGTTATCGGAAAACACACTATGACGACGGATGTTGTGATAGTCTGCACTCTGCAGTATATATTATAATAAAAAATAATTTAGGACACCATATTATAGATATTATTTTATCAAATATTATACTGTTGTGTAATATAGCTAATATCCTTCGCACGCACTCAATATTTTTTTTAATTCGTGTATTATATTATATAGGTAACTACAGTAATTTAAAAAAGCATGGGATCAAGTAGGTATATTGTTAAAAATCGTACCTGCTCAACACTTTCTTACCAGCGGTACCAAAACTGAAATATTTGAGTTCCGGAGTACTGTTCGACATTAAATATAATACCGATATGTATAAGTGGTATATGCGCGTGGGATACGCCGAATCACGATATCGCGACGACTAATTTTTTTAGCACATCTTCACTTTGAACTGCCGTTATCGTAATTCGAAAAAATTTGCACACGCCACTTATGAATTAGGTGTTAAAGTTATTTATAATACGAGTAAAAAAAAAAAACCTATAAAACGAAACTATAATTATTTCGTATAATATTGTTATGTTTTAAATTAAATTAAAGTAATAATAATAATAACAATAATATAGAATCACAATGACACGACGGCAATATTGTAAATATCATATCACTACCACAACAGTGCAGTTGTTGTAGGTACCTACGGCGGCGGCCAACTATATACATATAGCGATCTTCGCGTCGAACTGCACATGATATCGTTTAGCACAGTTTTGAGCACTTATTGACCATGGTAGCGGTGCGTCGACTGTAACACGCGCGCTGCACACACCCACAAATACACACGCTCCCGCACATGCATACGTGCGCACAACCGGCACAGTCACTCGCGCGTATAACAACAACAATAACAACCAACGCGCTCGTCTGTACTATAATATGGTTGTTGTAACGCCAGTTACCACCTTACTGGAGTTACACACGTCATACAAGATGGGTCCCAAATACATATTAATATATTATAGTATTATACCTTTCGCTTAGCACATTGTGAATTATTTTTAATATTATAATTTGGACAATTTGGTGGTGAAAAATTATTGTTATTGTGCGTCCGGCGACCGCCACAGCGAGTTACCACCAGGCCGTGTACTCGTAGAGCGTCGTTGCCGTGGTTTCGCGAACGCAGCGCGCAGTTTTTCCCTCCGCGGACCGAAGTTTGCGCGCGGAACTATGCCACGTAGATAGCGGAAAAGAGAACTCCGTACGCGCAACGATAGAGTGCCGCTTACCGCTGCCGAAAAGGCCGTCACTGTAGTAATATTACACGATAATAATATTATAAAGAAAATATATATAATTAACGGCGTCGGCCGATTTTCGGTCAGGAAAGAAACAAGATTCACGTCCTAAACGCGCGACACGACTGGATACTCAAATTCCGAAGGGAAAGTGACTATTCCTAGAATGCCGAAGATATCGCTGGTCGGATCCCGTGATGTGCGCTGTTGTGGTTGTTGTTATCGGCGTCGTTGTTATTGTTGTTGAAACTGTCGCATTATTATTATTATTTATTATACCGTCGTGGAGAATCACTTTCGCCCGCCGCTGCATTGGCGCGAAACTTAACTTGACCTCCAACCGTGACCTGGTTAAAGACGTAAACGAACGCGTAATTTATTTCGAACGCATTGCCGCTGCTCAGCGGGACTGGACCGCCTTGACGTTTAAAAATGGGTGAACAGCTGTAGCCGTCCGTCACATTACATAATATTAGTTGTTACTTATATATTAGATTATTATTATCACGTCATAATAATACAATTATCGGGCTAAACGCACACGCTCCTAACTAACGACGCATAGTTTCACGTTGTCCGTTTGTTTTATAATGCATACCTACTTTGCACGCACAGTCGTGTGCTGTATATATTATATCATACATTATTATTTATTACACACAATCAGGCTACACTAATTTTCACGGTTAATGTTTTTTTTAAATATAGATTTTCATTAAAATTAATATATGTTTATAATTTATAATTATAATACATTGAAAGATCAAACTATAATTTTATTATACCTACATTACTAAATAATACGGAAAATATGCAGATATAATATTATTATATAGGAATATAATTCTTTTAATTGGATTAGTAAATTAATATGGCCAGTTAAAATTGATTAGACTAGTCGATATACACTATACAGTATAATATAATTTAGTTATTACTTATTAATATTGACTTGGTTACACAATTTTACCTCTACTGACTGTTCCGCGTATGGCGTGAGTATCTATAACGGAATACAATTGTAACTATATCAATTAATTTACCAATCCGCTTAAAAAGTTGTTCAAACAAATTTGTCACTGTAAACAAACATTAATTGGTTAGGGCGTTTCAATAAGTTATATTACAAAACTATGTTACAAACAAGACTTAATTTATTTCAATTATTATACATTTTATAATAATTTATTATAATTTTATTGTTTTAGTTTGACCCACTTTACACCCTATATTTCTAAAACTGCAATTTTTTTAATTTCCATGGATTCTGCCTCCTATTATCCCCAACTAAATGTTCAACGATATTAAGTCAAATCGATATAGGTACTGACAGATTACGAGTATGATAGTACTATAGGTATATTACTAATTAGTAAAGACTAGATTTATACTCTCATACCTAAAATATGATGCTAATATTCTCTAAAAATACCTTCAAATATTCTCATTATATTTTCTTAAAAACTTAAAAAATATGCAAAAAATTATCAATAAACATCATTATTTGCTTTAAAATGCATTTGAAAAAATTTTTTTTTCAACATTATTTTAATAGAGAGGTATTAATTAGGTATTAAAAGTTAAGTATTCTAATGGAATAGTGCTGCACTATTGGAAATAATAAAAAAAAAATTGTAAATGTTCAAAAAAAAATTTTCTAGCCACCGTAATGTTAAAATAAATACAAATTTTTTCCCACAATTTACGAAATATCTAAAAATATTCTAAATGGGTTAAATATTCTCTAACCCATGAATTATTCTAAAAAAATAAATATGCAAAAAAAAACTTTTTTCTACATATTCAGAATTGAACGAATCGTCCACATTTTTTACTCCCATAAGAATACCCAGTAACAATATGTAAAAACATATAAATCCGGTCTTTACTAATTAGTAACAACAAAGAATGTACCCAGAATAATGTTCTTTAAAAAAATAAAAACAAGACAGTAATTAAATATGATGATTATATTCTCTAAACATTTTTACTGTAATATAATGTATTAAACTGATATTGTTTTACATCAAAGGTAAAATATATACTTATAAATTAGCTATACGAGTGGGCACTAAATTTAGTTATCTGTTACTTAGCAAGTAATGGGATTTATGAATTAAAAATATTTGTTAAAACACTATAATTTTAAGAATGTGGAAACTAGTAAATAATAAATATATAATAACCGATAATAATAATAAATACAAAAATATTGTCACGTGCTAAGTAAAAATAGCAAAGGACAAACAAAATTTAATCTGCCCCAGAGTGCTCAAAACCTTGGCTGCCAACTATAATTATATAATAATATAATATAATCATCAACATTAACATTAATAAATAAATATTCACTATGATACATATTATCGACAAGATATGAATTTCTGACACCATTAATTTTGTTGTAATAATCATAATATGTACTAAAAGTATATTATACTCATATAAACTATAAAATATAAGTTGAGTAATTGTAAGAATATTTTGAATGTGTAATTTTATTATTAACTGTAATGTTTACAAAAAAAATATAAGTTAATTCAGATAAAAAAAAAACACAACTGAAAAAGATGGGTTTTCAATTGTTTCAAATATCAAGGTATGTAAAGAAAAATGTATATATAGAAAGTTTATTATTTTAAGAAGTTCATTTTTATATAATTATTAAAAATAGTTTTATACAAAGATGAAATACCCCATACATACAACACAAATAATATTATGTCAATAATAACTAACATTAATTTCAACATTAAATTAATTTTGTACTGTAGTCCAATGATTTCAATAATTATCATCTAAATTACACGAGTATTTATATAGGTTTACATAATATGAGTATTACATAGGTTACTATCTTTTTTGAATTTGATGATTGTTAAAATAAATATATTATAGGATGAAAGTATAGAAAGAGTTCTCTAAGCAAAGAGAAAAACATTTTTAAACTAAATACTACATTTTTTATTATATATATGAAATACAGTCTGTCTGTCTTTTTATCAAATAATAAAATATATTTTAAACATTGACATACTAATACAAATTATAGGTGTCTACTAAAATGTATGTATAATTACGATTATTAGTTTATAATGTACGAGTTTAAACGAAAGCATACTAGTATAAAAGCCCAATATTAACTCATTAAAGCAAAATTAGAAATCTAAAATTGTAATATTCAATTAAAAAATCTTAGTTTTAAATAGGGTTTTTATAAGTGGTTATTTAATTCATAATGAAAATATTAAAAAAAAAAGACATAATTTAAAACAAATAAAAATATATCTCAAGTGAATGTTTGTGTAAAATAAGTAAATCATGAAATATGATTAAGTGGTCAGCACTGCATTTTCATTCAATGGATCCTTCATCATGGTCTTGTGAATTCCTATTACCATTATCATTGCTATCAAGTTGCCATTTATTGGTGTCAGTAGTCGGTTCTGGTGGAGTTTTGGGCTTGTTATTAGCAATGTGTTGTGGGTCTTCACCACTACCACCAGAATAACGTTTTCTATATTCTTTCGAAGAATTTTTAGATCCACTACGGCTCTTACTACGGCTACGACTACGACGATTTGGTGAACCAGAGTAACTGCGCCTCTCATAGTGTCTATTTCTATCATATTGTCTAGGTCTGTAATGGAAGAATCTTTGCCTTCCACCACCTCGTTGACCTCTATTATTCCAGTTATTGTTATAGTTATTATAATTTTGTCTGTGCACGTATCCTCCACGATGTTGGAAACCACGATTCTGAAAACCACGATTATGATGATTTTGATTTTGAAAACGTGGTTTATAGTATGTGCCACGGTTACGATTATTGTAGTATGGCATGCGATTGCGATGATGCATGGAACGAGAACGTGAACGTGAACGAGAGTATGAACGAGAAGATGAACGAGAACGATTTGAACGGGAAGATGAATAACGTCGATGTCTAGGATATGATCCTGAACGACTCCTGGTTTTTGACTTTGATGCCTCTTTGGGTTTCTTTTTAAATGGAGACTGACTTGAACGACCACCAGAACTTCTACTTCTTGAATAATTCATGCGCCTCTTAGATACTGATCGGGTACGTGATCTTTGCTTATTATTAGGACTCAAATAAGTTTGCTTTTGTTGAAACTCCATATTATTCATATTATTTTCAGAAACTGGATGAGTTGACGGAGGTGGAATAAAATATCCTTTGCTGCTCTCATACATAGTAGGAAATGTATGCTCTGCATTATTAGTCTCATTATTATTAGATGATTGAGTTCTCATTAACTCATGATTTGTAGGCAGCAAACGATTGTTGTCCCAATTGTATGGTACACTATCAGTTGCCTCCTTCTTCTTGACCTTAACATAAGTCGTAGTTGTAGTAGGTAGTTGCATTTTGAACTTAGGTGTTGGAATTAATGATGGATCTTCATCATACTTGTAAGTACTAGGCATTTCGACAACTTCAGTTGCTTTAAACATGTCTGATTGTTCATTATCCTTATCAATAACATTTTGATCATTGGGTTTATCTTGTTTCACATACTTTTTAAAGAATATGTTTTCTTTTAAACTTGATAAATTTGATTTAACAATCTCCGGATCAGGGAGACTGGATTTTTGTACAACTTGCTGTTCGTTATCGAAGGATTGTTCGGCGAATTTGTGTTTTTTTGATTTATTTTTTTTATGATGATGTTCCTGATGATCTTTAGCACTTTTCTGCTTATTTTTAGAATCTTTTTTCTTGTGTTTATGAGACTTCTTTTTATCTTTGGATTTTTTCATTTTCTTATCTGTTTTTTTTTCTTCATTCTTTAAGGCACAAGCTTCTTCTAATAATTTTTGTATATTTAGTCCAATTTGCTTACTTTTCTTAAATTTGTTGGATTGACTTAGGAGTATTAACTTTTCTATTCTTTCTTCAATATCATTTTCTTTTTCAGAATTCAGTTGTTGAGGTTGAGAATTTTCTGTTGCAATAAATGAGGGATTACAGGGTAATCCACCTCCATTAGTACTACTTCCATCCATCATTGCTAAGCGTTTACTAAATGGTGATAAAGATCTTTCTTTTTCTACTTTTTGTGAATCATTACCAGATGATCCATCACTTGAAGTATCAGAAGAGGATGTGTGATCAGAGTCACTATCTGAGTCACTAACACTTTCATCATCTGAAGAACTTCCTGAACTTGAACTATCAGTTGAACTGCTGTTGCTATTATTAGAACTGCTGCTACTACTTGCAGATTTTTCGAAATCAGTATCACTTTTTTTTTTTGGTAAACTGTCAAGTGTATTCATTGGTGTTGCTCTTCCAACTAAAAGAGTTGACTTAAGATATTCAATAGATGCTTTGGCTTCATCATGATCAGGTATTACATGTAAGCATTCTTCATAATATTGTAAAGCTTCTTCTAATTTATTTTGTGACTCTAAGGTCCTAGCGTATCCCATAAGAGTTTCACCAAGATACTTACGACCATTTAAATGTTTCGGATTAACTTTCAAGGCAGATTTTAAATCTTCAATTGCTTTTTGAAAACGACTTAGATTAGCATATAAAGCACCTCTAGCTACATAAGCTTCTACATTTAAAGAATCTATAGTTAATGCCTTATTTAAGCATAAAAATGCTTCAGAGTGTTGTCCGGCTTTAAAAAATTTAATTCCATCCGAGACGCTTTGAATAGCCCATTGAGCAGACTGAACTTTACGGAGTTCTAATGCAATTTCTTTTTCAGGAAAGCTCCCTGACAAAGCTGGAATAATTGAATATCTATCATCAGACAAACCTGTTATCAACTCCAAGTTACAAGTATTTGACGGATTTTTAAATCCTGTAGAGTTTTGTAACATTGAGTCATATGATTCATCATTTTTACCAGCATGAAATAATTTAAATGTTTGAGGGCAATTCTCCATGTTGAATAAGCCGAGTAAATCTTTATACTTCTTGTGGCATTTAACTCCTTTTATTCCACAAACTAATTTACAAGCTTCGGGGACTACCTCCAATACCTCACAACACAAATTGTCCCCAATACTAAGACCAGGAATAGACGCTTGACAAAAACCACGAACATTAATATCAGAAACACACCTTACAGGTTCAGTATAAGTGCATAATACCTTTAAAATTAATCCAGAGACAGTTTTTGAGGATATTGAAGTAATTATGATTTCGCCTTCAGATAGTTCATTTAAGAAATGTTTTAACTTTGATTCTTTGTTGATAAAACCAAACACTTCATATGGTGGCATTACAGTAAATGAGTTGATCTCGAAGTCTTCGCATTGTTTTTGCTTATTGTTGGCCAACAAATCAACACTAAAAAATGCTTTTGAATTATTTGCAATAAATTTATGGAGTTTCAATTGTTTTTCACTATCCAAATCATTAGTGATACTATGTCCGTTTGCATAGGCTGGGAAACTTATTGCAGAAAGTCCAGTAAAATCTCCAACCTCGCCTAAATCACTTCCTAGTGCTTCTTGTAAATTAGGCCCATGAAATTGAAGGGCAGTATACAGTAAATCTTGGTCCAGTTCGACTTCCATTTTTATCTGAAAATAAAAACATAAATTAGGTTATTTAAAAAAAAAAAAACAAAATCAAAAATAAACTAAAGGTGTATATATTATACAAATATTTTATATAAATAAAGTTAAATACAGAGTTAAGTAGAATATTATTTTTTATTTAAAAAAGCAAGGCTATATTATTTATTGATGCGTGATACATATTTTAATATTACGTAACTAATAGGCCAGAAGTTGATCAACAAGATATAAAACAAAATTAATAAATTATAATTGGTGCCTAAATTCAATTTTGGAAGAAATAATATATGAAAAATATTAAAAGCTGCTGAACTTAATAGTATTAATACACATAACCATGGTAACAGATTTCTTAAATTGTGTATTAAATCATGTATTTAACAAATTTCAAAATGTTTCTGATATAAAATAAAATTTTACTATATATTATTATGGCACTTTTCACTTCAGTTTTAATCAAGAGTTTGAAAATAGTTGTATTATTGTTGTTGATCAGCTTTGCCTCACAGATATTAAATACTAAAAATGTAATAAAAATTTCAAAATTTTTATTTATTTATTTAATATTGGTTAGATGTAAGATAAAATTCTATAAAAAATAAAAATAGGTACTTAAACTGTTGTTTACCTGGAATATTCTCAGTAATAACGATGAAGTGAATAATAATTTTTTACGTAGATTTGATTACAACCGAAAACTTGGCACTAATAAAATACTTATCCAAAATCATATTTTTGAAAAAAAACATGAAACCACAAAACCATGTTCATAAAAATTCTAAAAAATATAATTTCGAAAATAACTTATTACAATTTTAATATCTCTAGATTAAACTCAAGTGAAAAATGTTAAATTTATTTCACTAATTTCCATTATAAGTTGATAGTATATTGAAATTATTGCGTACCTATTAATAATATTACCTTATTTTTTATGTATATAATATTTTTGATTGAAATTTCTATCAGCATAAACTTTATTTATTTATATCATTCTGTTGTAATATAAAGAATGAAGTATTTAAATTTAAAAAACAAACAGCCTTATAAATGCAATATAAATTTGTGTGGCCTGTACACCCTTAGTCAATAATAATAAATACAACAGTTTTAATATTTGTTACCATGGTTACGTGGGATCATTTTGAGTAAAAGTACTTTAGAAGCAAATTAACTTTTATACACATATGTAATACATAAATTACGTAATATATTGTTTTAATATTTAGGTAATTAAATTTACAATAATTGGATTCAATAATACAACTTAACTCAATTTAAACCTCAAGGAAATATAAAAATGTGCACTTTTATTCATACATAAAAAAATAAAAAATAAAAAATTTACTATGGTGTTAGTTAACAGATTTTTTTAAGAAATGTATTAATACTCTCCATACCTTTTTACTTAAGAGAATATTCAATTACTCAATAAATAACAAATAAAGGCGTGATTGCATTGACTATCATAGTTTTTCAGTAAAATTTAAAAATTAATATATTGAATTTATTAAACTCAGACTGACAATATTTTATATCTAGTAAAAAACGTGGGTAGAATATAAATAATAATGATTAAATAAATTAAACCCATGAGTTTTAATGAAAAAATATAGGAAAACCAAATTTATAAACCAAAAATTAATGTAATATAAAATATATTCTACCTAGTAAGTAAATAATTAAATTTTACTTTTACAAGATAATTGTTTTTGTTGGTAAAACCGAAAATTCAAGAATATGGCATAATTATTAGTATAGTTGTGTATGATATTATATTTGAAAATGAATATTATTCAGTAAATAAAATATTTTGCTTTTCCTATAAAGGCTACATATATATCGAAGTAATGTTGTGAATATGTTAAATTAACTGGCGTTCTAATTCAAAGACTAATGAATATATTAACAGCTTATGCAAATTTTAAATGTATTGTTCAATACCTAGATTAGATAAAATAAATACATAGCCAACATCTGATCACTTTGCTTACAACCATAACTTTTAACTTTAATCAACAAAAAATTAAGAGCATTTAGTATTATAATATAGTTTCAATAATATTGGAAACAATATTTTAATTTAGGTATCCATGGTAACACTATTACTTTATGCTTGAATGAAACAATTTATGTATAGTATAAATTAACCACATACATACCATGAAGTTATATGTATTGTAGTTTTATGTAAAATTTGATTTAAATTTATAACTTAACTACTAATTTAAAATGAAAATCATAAAAGAGTGTGTAATAAAATCGAAACGATAGGTAAAAATATTAATTGAGCGTTAACACTTATATTGTACATAGGTAGAATAGGTTATAATAAAAAAAAAAAATTAAGTAGTAAGTACACATAAATTAATCTGCAGACAAAAAATTCAAATTAATTGTTATTTATTGTAAACAAAATAAAATATATTAGTAGTAGGCAGTAGCAAATTATTCGTGTCGTGTTGGACTTTTTAATTGATTTTATATTTTGTGGTATTAATAGTTTTACGATAATAAATACTATTAAAATTGTAACACTAATTTTACAATTTAAATTAATTATTTAAATATACCTATTCTTCACTAACAAGTACCTATCAAATACAAATTGATTTAACACTATATTTACTGATCACAAAGAAAATATGTATAATATTTAAATACATAATAACCTACTTAGGTAGTAGCATAACAAGAGGAGCAGTGGCTTTAATTAATATGTCTGTAGAGTGAAATAAACCTTAAGCCAAATAAATTATGGGTACAAAGTGGACAACTCATGAGTGAACTACACATTCCTAATACCTATATAATATATCATGTATAATGTAGAGTATGACGCACAACGGTGTTCGAAAAAACGCATTTACAATGTACATATTTTGTATCTTTGAATTACTTACATAATACATTGTACCAGACAAAAAAATATATAATGCATCGTTAGCCGTTACAGTAACTCGTATAAGTCATCATAATAATATAGGATACAATAACGTCAGTTGTTGGGTTGCAATGACAATTTATAGTAAGCACATAGTGGCGGGTCGGGTATTAAGCAGCAGCGCAGTCTCACGGTTATACTCTGTAGAAACTTTTACTTACGTGCTGTCTTGGTTAAAGTTGATAAAGTATAAGCGTTCGTTCAGATCAGAATTTGAGAGGTTCATTTAGCCTGAAACATACCGAAAAGTTTGTGATGTGTTCATGCGACATGAGCGAGGGGAGGGTAGGTGGGTGGGCTCCAATAGAGAGGGGCAGGGAGGGATGGTGGGGGTGACATTAAGAGTGTAAACATAGGTTGTTTTTTTTTTTTTTTTGTCCGATCCGCCGCTGGGACGGGAAGAATAGGAATCGGGACTGTCCGTGAATTACTGCGCATGACCTTGAGCGGTTATTGATAAATTCTGTCATCCAGTAAACAACGAGCGCGCGACCAAACGTTTTCCCATTATTACTCACCAGCGATTCATGAATCTGTTGCCAAGAGTTGTATGCGAGTTGAAACCGCACGCGCACTGTGTGTCAAATGTGCAGACGACCCGTCTCGTCGCTCCAGCAAACTCACGGCGATGATGGTAAAAAAAATAACAGTTCAAAAAACGCGCTTATGGCCAAACAACACTTTCGATCAGCGACCACGCAAAACGTGACCGAGTGCGAATAGAACAATAGAGAACAGCCAGGAATCAGAATTCAGAACAGACTCGTCATTCGACTGTCGATGCACCCTCCAACAACAAGAGCGACGAATAAAAACAGTATAATATAATAGTATAATAGTCGGCGCACAAAATGGTCATACACATGGGTACAGTGCAGACAACAACAGAAGCGTTGTTGTAGGCGGTGTGACCGCGACAGGTTTTTTAAAAATCTCAATTTCCTGTCGTTTCATTAGCTGATCACTGAGACAGAAATACAGATTACAGAATGCGCTTCGACAACCATAATATTATTATTTATTAATAATAAATATTTAAATATTTAAATATTAAATGGTCTATGCTTGCAGCTGCAGCAATTTAGCTGCGCTTATAAATTAGTTGGAGTAGTGATTTTATGTTTTACTTATGGCCAACTTGTGATTCGTTTTAAGTGTTATATTTTGTAATGAAGAGCGCTATATGGTTTATACTTTTATCAGTTTTATTAAATCGAATATATATATATATATATATATATATATATATGTTCATGTTGGTAATGCAGTAGATTAGTGCTGAGTGCTCCTGTTTGATAGAAAAAAAAACGTTATTGGGAGTATAACTGAAATTAGAATTAAAAAACGTTGGGAGAAATGGTAGTGACTAGTGAGGCAAACTCCGGATTAACAATATTATTAAAGAATATAATATATTATAATTTATAACTAATAAGTAGGTATAAAGTAATAGCTATTAGCTATGCGGCAATGCGGCATATGCACATCTACGACATGACGATGCATATTTTATTACTTTTAACCTATTCATTACTAAATCCGTTACGATTGTTAAGAAAGTTATAGTTATTAAATACTTAATCATCATTCCACAAGTAGGTACAATTTATAACTTTAAAATGTAGAAACTTTAGAAAATCTCAGTTTTATCCTACAACAATTTTTTTTTAAAGCAGGTGAGAGCAAATTTTAAAAAAGCTTCCAAATTGTATAAGCTTTTCAACAGTGTAATCGATTTTTTCGTTAAACCTTTCTGAAGGGCCGCTATTCCACCTAATGTGTGGAAAAACCGGGAAAAACGTAAACAAATTCTAAGCAATAAATACAAAACCTGGTAAATTGATTTTTTTAAAATTTCGACATTTTAAAGTTATAAAAAATGTGTGTTATTCTTTTTACCCAAAAAATCAGGTGGAAACCTTGTAAGATATGTTGTACTAGGTAATCCCAACTTCATGAGCTTTTCATCAAAGTATTCAAATTAATTGTTGTACCTACTGTTTAGCAGATATAAACATTATTATGAATCAAACTTGCGTTTAACAAAAAACACAAACATGGAAATTATCACCCTTATTAGTTATTATTGATAGTTCGATTATGATCACAAGGACTTTTTTTGTTCCATTCGAGGTATAGAAACACCTCTAGAAGTTTGACACATTTATCGTGCAACACCCTGTATATATATTTAGGCATGGTATATTCCCATATTGGTATGTAATGTCTCAAAGTGCCAGTGGCGGATCCATTGTTTAATTTTTTTTTTTTTTGGGAGGGGCTCCTAAAATAATTAGTTCTAAGCCATAAATACAACATAATATGCAATTATTGTAAATGTTGGTTTTCAAAATAGATAAATAGATTGTGTAATTAATTTTTAAATATTATACAACATAACATTATACGCTTTAAAATATTTCTGTAATTAAAAAGAAAAATCTATTAAAGAGGTCTGGGGAGGAGGTCCCTGCCCCCCCCCCTGGATCCGCCTCTGCAAATAAGTGCTATAATTTTGAGTTCCTTGTTCTCAGCTCGTAGACCTTTATGTTTAATATGTCATATACGATATACCTATAGCCATTCAGCATTCTACCTCAATCATATTATTTATAAATATATTATAATATAATATTATCATTTATCATATAATAATATGTCAATTTTACGAAGGTGGGCATTAACTTGTTAAAAAGTTAAATTTTTTTGACTTCTTAACTTAATTAGTTATTTTTTTGTTTTTAACTAGTTAACTTATTCAGTTAACATTTTTTATTGTAGTAACTTAACTTTTTGTAGTTAATTATCATTGTCGTGCAGTTAATTTAATTTAATTTTCTAGCCATGAGTAATCAACTAGACTCTTAAGATTTTGGTCATTTAATTTCGAATACTATATTATTATAATCTATTTTTTTACACAGTGTTATACGTCTTGGTAAATATTTGTGTATAACAAAATAATATGGCAGTTTATGACTTAAAAATATTGTACCTTCAAAAAAATTAACTTTTTTTAACTGAGATAAGTTAATTTTATTTTCTATCTTAACTTTAAACTTAACTGAAGGCAATTTAATTGAATTAACTTAACATGCCACGGTTAATTATTTTCATTAACTTGCACACCATTGCAAGTTTAATTATTACTTATTAGTGTATAACCACAGAATAGATATGTAGCAACACAACAATCTTCACAAACGTCGATACGTATGTAACAATATGATGCTGTAAAAGTAGTACGACAATGGGCACTATTAGAATTTACTATTTAGAGACTAAGAGTCATATACTCATATGTCCATACTGTAGAGTATGGTCCAAACACTCAACACTCTGAAGCACGCATTCAGACCATAGTAGGTACCAAGGCCGTAACTGGGGGGGTCCAGGGGTCCGGATTAAATTTTTAAAAGTAGAAACATTTTAGCGGTGAATATAGTTTATTAACTATAAATTGTATTAAATAATAATTGTATATTTTCGTTAAAGCAGTAATTTAAAATAAGATAAAATTTATCATTTTATTTTATTTCAACGTCGTAATAAAGATTAGGATTGATAGATACGGTTAGGTACTAGTTACAATAAAAGGTGATTGTCACAGATGATATAAACTTACCTATATATGAAATCCAAATTATTTAAGATTATGAAACAAGAATATAACAATATTGTGTGTATTGTAAAATATTCATTTTACTGCTGTTCGTGCTCACAGCTCACGTAAACTGAAATGAGTAACTGAATGAGTAAAAGAAACCAACTTCAAAATTATTTTATAAAGAGACAAGAAAAAGTTGCTCTTCAAAAAGATAGAGCTATTTTACTAATATAAAACAGTCAACATATTGCATGCTTATAGACTATAAATTAATAATTATTTTGTAAATTTAATATTGAAAAAATTTTATTTTTAATTTTATTTTTTTTTAATTTGTGCTTTTAAGTAATTTGAATCAGTCTATATGTATATAAACAATCAACTATTACCTATGTTTATGTAAATTGAATATTATAATAATGACTTATGTTTTTAATAATGATAATAATAAAATTTTATATTTTTAACGTAAAAATGAAGTGTTAGTATCTATATTTAAAAAAATGTTAGACCCCCCCGAAATTTTTTCCAGTTACGGCCTTGGTATAGTTACCTATTTAAGTAAAATAAGTATCTACAATCTATAATATACTCTATAGGGATATGGTTCCACAGTACAATATGACGTGTAGACAAAATATATTATGTTAATATGTTATAACTTATAAATGTACAATTATTATATTTTGTCATTGTGTATACTGTATGTCTGTATATTATAATATGTATCATGTACGTATACATATTGACTGATGTCTAAGTACCAAGTCCATCGTCTGACGTCTATGAGTTATGAGTACTTGTGACTGTATTTAGTACTCACTATTCACATTTCACTGACTTATCTACTCATCATAATAATTCATAGTAAAGTTCGTGGCCGTGTCAATTGTCAACAATAAATGCTGCGTAGAAAAGGGATAAATCATAAATGTCTATATTGTTTACTCTTTTCGTTAATACAAAATGTAGTGTAGGTTGGTACAAGAATCCATGTTATCGCAATATTGTGTATCGGGAGAACTGACGCTGCACCTTTTTACAATGGACAACAAATAACAATATTAATGTTATGATAAAATACACAATTGATAATTTAAAATTAAATGAATATTAAAAAAAATGAAAAATGAAAATTTCATTTTTGAAATGTTCAGTTCTGACTTTATGATACGTTGTGCACTCAGCCATAAAACAATAGTGTTATTTTCCTAATTTAAATATTACCCAAATTTATACACAATAATATTATATTTAATAATTTGCAACACAACTGAACAATTCCTGATTGATGTTTAAAATCCAAAATTACTTTCACTTCTCCTTTCATTGTATCAATTATTATTGTTAATGTAATTAACTTCTTTTCTTACCTTTAAAATTTAAATGGTTGATTATGGATTTATAATCCAAATCTAACAGGTAATTTCGATTTATTTTCTAAGATAACTAGGTACCTAATTTTATGGAAATACCTAATTTTATGAAAATAATTTGAACTCAAAAGTTGTTTGTTTTTAGATATATCAAGAAATCATAGTTAATAATTAAAAAGTATACCGTGTGTCTGCTAAAACGGGATACACTCCATAACTCAGTTACCTACATTACTCGGTACCCTATACATATTTTAAAATTCTGTCTGCTGAAGATTGATTATCCAATAGTCTAGTTTCAAACAGAATTCAACAATGTGTGTGGCGTACTCGGCAATATGTGTACCTAATTTAACTATATAATGTTTTTGCGGACACACGGTAGGTATACAGATATATCTGTGGTTTTCATTTGTTATTAATTATTATATTGAATATACCACCTATTAAAATTTAATTACTTTTTTTTTTCAAATCACATAATTTATTAATCTTTTACAGTACTTACCTATTACCTGAGCTAAATAAATTTAAATTATTATTTGTACTCACTTGTTTTTTCAGAACATTCAATTCTTGTAATTTGAAACAATACAAAATATAAAAAACATGTTTTTGTAGATAAAAAATATACCTAGTGGTGAACGATCCTCAAAATGTAAGTTTTGATTAATTCAATTTGTATATTACAAATTATAATATGTGATTAACCAGTCAAGTGTCTACTCTATAGTAATATAGTACGACTGAATGCATTGATTAGATTACAATAGCACTTCTAACTTAATTAAATTGTTGTGTTTATGTTATTAATACAGTTTCTGTGTATGAGAAACTGTCTCAATTCTCAATAATAAAACAATAAAAATAAATCATGAAAATATATTAAGAAAATTCCAGTTTGCTACATAAAAATACTATAGATATCATATTCATAATTGATTAAACTTGATAATTTGAATTTTGAACAGCTTATGATCCTGTATAATTTGGTTTTCGCTTTTCCACAAATGCCAAGAGTCCTTCTATTCTATCTTTTGTTGGAATTATCTGACTATAACAAAATTCTTCAATGGCACAGCCATTGTTTATGTCCACTTGTAGTCCATGACTGATCGCTTTTTTAGCCATTTTTACTGCAAATGGCCCATTAGGTATAATTTCTCTAGCGATTTTCAAGGCACACATGTAAGCTCCTGTACCCTCTTCATTTTGTTCACTTACTCTGTTTACAGCTCCATATTGTAAAGCCTGCTGCGCATTAAAAAGTCTAGCAGTATAAACCAATTCTTTGGCTAGTGAGCCACCAACTGCACGTGCTAAACGTTGAGTGCCACCAGCACCGGGTATTATGCCAAGTCTAGTTTCTACTAATCCGAAAATGGAATTGGAAGCACATAATATAAAATCACAACTTAAAGCCAATTCAAAACCTCCACCTAATGCAGCACCATCAACAGCTGCAATAACAGGAACAGGTACATTTTCTATAACATTAGCTAAATTACGTATTTCTGATACACGTCTTCCGACATCAGAAGGTGGTAATTTTAAACGTTCTTTTAAATCGGCTCCTGCACAAAATATTCCCTTTACTAGACTTCGAAAAATAACTGCTTTTGTATCATTGTCATTGTACAACTGTTTAAAAGTATTTAGTAACTGATCAAGCATATGTTTATTAATTGCATTTTTTGACCACGGTCTATTGAGACCTATGACTACAATACCTTTATCATCATTTGTTAGTCTTTCAACATTGACTAATTCTTGAGTATGTTCTTGAGTTGGTTTTGTAGATACATTTTTAAATATAAAACTTTTATTGTTCAATTTTGACAACCTATTCATAACAAACATTGTAAAATATTAAAATTCTTGTGTTCTATTATCATTTAATACTTATATAAAACACATCAACATATTTTATAATTTGTAGTGATTTAATTAGTCATTACTCATTTTACACAATATACTTATTATTCTGTAGCTCATTAAATAATGGTATTCATTTCTGTGATAAGATAAAATATATTTCCCAATAAGTTTATCATCTATTAGTTCAAATGTCTTGTAAGTTTTGGTTGCTATAACAACAATTTTCAAAACAACTAAAATTTATTATATTTGATGCATAATTGCATAAATAACAGATAAGAGCTAGTTATGAATGTTTAATTTAAATTACTATTGTAACAAAATTATTTTTTATAGTTATATAATTTCTTAATAAACATTTTTAAAAATAAGTACCTAGTACAAATAAAATCTATAATATTATATTTAATTTTGTATATGAAAATCATTACTTCATGTCGAAAGAAGTGTTTCCATTATGGTTGGAAGATTTATCGGAGTGAGTTGAAAATCTGTCATCATTTAAAAAATTATAATAATGATTTACCCAGATTTTTAAACTATTATAATATAAAATACAATATATAAACTACGACCAATCAGAAAAAAAATGCATAAATATTTTTATTAAATGAAAAATTATGATTTTCAGGAGAATTGGTAGTTCTCGAAATATATCAACACGTTCTCGAAGAAATCGAAGAATATCAAATGCAAAAAGTGCACGTTTTAGGCCAATTGAGCCTGCAGTGCTTATGGATATATCACCAACATTATCTCTATCTCCAACAATATCTAATAGAACAAATGATTTATTTGATTTGCTTGATGAAGGCATAGATACACAAACACAGCGTAGGGAAAATTCTGCACGATATGGCCGGCGAGCTATATCTAATGTTAAAAATATATCTAATCAAACTTTACATTTTGTTCCTGATGAAATAATATTATCTAAGAAACCAACTAACCAAGTTAACGAAGATTTTCTTGAACAGTCTTGGACATCTTTAAACTTTTTTAATCGCAAACAAAAAGGAAGACTTACTAGCAAACGGCAAGGTAAATTGTATTATATTTACTGCTATTGTTTTTACAATAATAATATGACAATGTTCTTATAATATTAATAATTATTATTAGTAAAATTTAAATTAGTTAAAAGTTATTTTAGTATCTATGATGATTTTTTTATGATAACTATAAATTTTATATTATGATCTATTAGTAATTTTTACACACTTGCAGATCGTAAAACACCAATGAGCTTTGGTGTAGAATCTGAATTTAACACACACATTCCAAAAAATGAATCTCAATCACATACACCTTTTGTAATACCTGAACTACCATCTGGATCAACATTAAAATTGGATATAACCAGCACTTGGGGTGATCAACATTATATTGGCCTTAATGGCTTAGAAATTTTTAACAATGAAGGCCAATTAGTAAATATTTTAAAAGTATGTATATTTATAATATAATAAAATGTAAAAATTGTTCACCATTTTTAAAATTATTTATTCAGATTTGGGCTGATCCATCAGACATAAATGTCTTACCAGAATATACATCAGATCCTCGAGTTATACACAATTTGATAGATGGGATCAATCGAACAAGAGATGATATGCATTTATGGCTAACTCCATTTACTCCAGGTGCTCATCATTTTATTTATTTGGAATTTGATGATGTGCATACAGTAGCTATGATCAGAATATGGGTAAGTTAATTTAATAAAATATATTAAGTTACCCATATTTTAACTATTTTTTATGGATGATTCCAATAGAACTACAACAAATCAAGAATCCATTCTTATAGAGGTGCCAAAGACTTAAAAATGTATCTTAACTCAGAGTTAATATTTCAAGGGGAAATTGCTAGAGCATCTGGTGGAATTGTAGGATGTACAGATGCATTTGGTGATGTAAGTAATTAAAAATAAATCGTATAAGTTATGGCTAACTAATAAAAATTATGTCATTCAATAATGTTTAACAAGGCAGTGTTAAAGTGTTTTAAATCCTAAGAAAAACTTGACTAAACTTAATTTATCATCTTGTGGTTTTATATCAAACAATACCATTTTATTTTAATTATATTTAAATTGACTTTATAGTATGTTTTATTTAAAATGTATATTGTATACTATTATGGTATACATTCTGGCCTGTAATTATGTTAAATAATAAGTTTACAAATATGCAGAAAGTCCTTCATATTTTTCTTAATGTTTCATTTTAATTAAAGATTGTTATTTATACTGATTTTAGACAATACTGTACACATTAGACGAAGATATATTAGAAAATATTGCACAAAACGATACTTCATATTCAATATTATTAGAAGCCAACAATACAGTTGATTCAATTTCAGTTGAACCACAACAACGCCCTCTTACAGCTGATACTGGAGTACAAAAAAACTTAAAATACTTTTATAATTTATTAAATATTTACATGCTAATATATTAAACCTTTTCTAGATTATCAGACCTTTAACATGTGCACAACCAATTGTCACAAATATATCTTCAGATTTGTCTGAATCTAACTCAAAAACTCAATATCAAATAACTGGATCAGTATTATGCCAACAATCATTGACTATTACTGTTATTTCAACTTGGAATTCATTAGATAATTCAGAATCAATGAATACTTTTAATGTTGTTGGATTGCTGGGACTAGAAGTATTAGGGGAGACTGGTGATGTAGTTAAAATTGACAGTATAAAATGTAATACTGATACATCTAATGTAGACAAGTAAGATAATTCTTTTTTTATTGTAAATATTTTTTACCAACTATGTGATTGATTCTGATATTATGCATAATACAATGGTTTTGTGCACATTTTTGTTTAAGAATATATTTAATTATTATACAGAGAATATTTAAATATTAAATGCAATTATTATTATAAATGTCAAAGCATAATTTATAACATCAGATCCGATAGTTATATATCAATATCCTTATATGATACATTGGATGTATTGAAAATGTTCAATATGTTATAGACTATTGGAATGCCATATTACCGATAAAGATTGTGATATGTGGACTTGTGAGTTACCAGATGAGCCTTTAACTTTAACACTCAACTTTTTAGCACCAGTCCATCTATCAGCATTGGTTATATGGAACTATAATGGATCGATAGAAAGCTTAGACTGTGGAGTATGTTTTATTTATTATTTTAATTTATGTAGAAATTAATATTTTATGAATAGGTAAAATTTATAAAACTGAATATTGATGATCGAGAATTGGTTGAAAGAGGTACAGTTCAAGTAAGACGTGGTCCTGGACATTGCCGATATAATTTTGGTCAAAAAATTCCTTTACTTCCAAAGCATTGTCCCGCTCGATCTAAAGAATTTGCAACAGTAAATCCTAAACAACATATAAGTATGTATGTTTTTACTTTACATTTAATTATAGTTTATAAATATAAGAATATACAAATGTATAGGTAATAGTTAATTACATTTATATAATACTATGTTTAATTTGTTTGTATTTAATTTAAAATTTAAAGAGATTACCTGTAATGTTAATTTATTTACTTTCAGTATTAGTATTATATAATTACTTTGTATATAAAATATAATGTAGTAGTCAGAAAAATAATTATTATTCTATTTTATTAGGATTAAATAATCCAGATTATGAGCATGTAACAATTCCAGTTGGTTTTGTTTACCAAATTGCTTTATTATCAACTTGGGGTGATCAATACTATATTGGTTTGAATGGTATCCAGTTATTTGATAAATTGGGACAAATTATAAATTTGGAGCCTAAAAGTAATACAATTCAATTTAAATAAGATATTTATCATTATATGTAAAATATTTTATGTAAATAAGGTATTAGTTGTTGGCCAAGCAGTGTAAATATACTACAAAGTAATAAAAATGATATTCGTACACCTGAAAATCTTTTAGATGGGATCAATGATACTATGGACGGCGCTCATATGTGGTTGGCTCCAATTTTACCTTCAGAGGTTTTGTGATCTATTATATGTATGTAAATTTTAGAAGTACCTATATCTAATTATTCTTTTTGTATAGGTTACCAAAATTTATATTGTTTTTGATGAACCAACTTATGTTTCCATGTTCAAAATTTGGAATTATGCAAAAACTCCTTTAAGAGGAGTTAAAGAATTTGCTGTGAGACAATAGCATATTTTATAATTATTTTTAAACAACTCATATTTGTTATTTGTGTTTATAAAGATTTTAGTTGATGATCTGCTTGTTTATAATGGGATTTTAGAATGTTTCAAAACCACATCAACCTTAAACCAGTATTCCACTGTGATATTTGATATCTCTAAAGAGCAAAATGATGCTATTTTTGAACTGTCAACGTAAGTATTTATATACATATATATATTTGTCAGATTCAAATATCCTTTATATTTTACAAAATCACAACTATCCCATAATTTAGTATTAACATAAATATACAATATATTGGTTATGGTATTTACCTAAATAGTGTAAAATATTCTACTATCTAAAAAAAAAAACTGTTTAATTCTTAAAATTATTCATTTTGTGAAAAGGATATAATTTTAAACATCAATTGATGAACCAGTAAATACTTTCAGGCATAAAAAATTCATTAACTAGTTTTATGTACTAAGTGTCAAAGGAACAGATTTATTGTATAAAATAAATCCACCGTATAGTGCAGCCAAGTCAAGACAATGACCAGTTAATATGGGACCAAACTAGTTTTAGACGGTTATCTGGTCATAATCTTAACTCAGTTGCACTATACAATGCCCAAAAAGTACCGAGTAGAATTATAAAACAATAATAAAAACCATAAAGGCGGGTTTCCACTATACATGTGTCCCGAGTACACAAAAAATGTTCAGCTATGTCCAACAACATGATATTGTGGTTAATCGTGTGACAACTTAACCTAACTAACCAATCACAGGAAAGGATTTACGCAAATGTGTATAGTGGAAGCAGGAGCTTCATTTGGGGGGTGGTGGCAGGGTGTACGATGGCACTACTAACATAATAGAGTAAATTATTGGCCATCTATTAATGCTTCTATGCTCCGATTTAATTACTATTAAAAATTAATAAATTACTCATGCATATAATATATATTTATTTTTTTATCAGCTTTATCATCAAATTTATCCCTATTTTATAACCGTGTGAAGCGCGGTTCATTATATATGATAGATCGGGCCAGCCCGCTGGTATCAGCTTTAATAGTATAAGCATAGCATACGTAATATATTAGAACCCGTAGATATCCACTGATTTAAATTTAAAAATAATTAATAATATTTTATTTTGTATGAATATTGAAGTGTTTGGTTTTTTAAAAAATTGTATTAAAACAAATTCCTTTAAATTCCGATGTGAGTAATTTTAATTAGGATTATAAAAGGGAAGGAGATAATAACAACATACTTTATACGGCATGGTTTTTGTTTAAATATTAAATATTTAAATTGGCCTGGCTAAATGTTAAAACTGGCCTGTCTAAAACCTTGCACACCCGGAAAAAAAACTGAAATTACGCCCCTGAGTGGAAGCCTCCTTACATTACAATAATCATATTAAAAGGTTAATTAAAAAAATGTTCTTAAAATTACTTTATTATCTAAAAGTAACAATAATAAGTATATACAATTATTATGTATAAAATCTAAAATATTGTTTTATATGTTTTAGTGCAAATGAATTGAATAGTTTGAATATTGAAGGAATGTTATTAGATAATGTTGTTGACCAGTCACAAAGACCATTTACATCAATGTTACCATCTTCAAGATTAATAAATTAAGAGTTCTTGAATATTCTAGATTTAAAATAATGCTTATGTAGTTATGTTATGTCCAACTAATATTGGATGTATAATATTGTATAGTTGTGTAATTACCTTAAAATATTTTTATAATTATATGTAAATTTTAGACAAATAATTTATTAAAATAGGTTAAAATGTATTATATTTTGTTTTTATTTCATAATTCAAATTCTTGGTTAATCTAAAATGTTTAACAAACAATTGTCAATCGATCATACAATGTAAAAGGATCCACCCAATTTTATTTTGTTATAAATCTTATTTTCCACACTAAGTTTTCTTGCTCTTCCATATTTTGAATTGCAAATAAATTTGCATTTCACCAAAGTTTGCTATATTACTAATTTTATTTTGTAACTGTAAGTAGTGTACTAATAGTGTATTAGTAGTTTAAAACTCATAAAACCTAAGAGTTAAAATATTATTTAATAATGTAAATCACTTAAAATGTGGAAGTATCTTTATCTATATTTAATCATAATCATTACAAAGTCTTGGATATAATTGTCACTGATTTATAGCCCACTCACTAATAATCTAACCTTTTTGAATCAATTAAAATTTGGAGTGGCGTCATTTGGGGGAGGGCAATTGGGGCATTTGCCTCTGTCTAGTATTTACATCAACCTAAACAGTGGTGGCTATCCTATACTCTATGTGTATCCGTCGATACACCTTATAATTGGGTGGGTGGGTGGTAAATTATTGGTTAGGCACTAAATTGTATACCATTGTATACCAGAGTTGGTGGAAAACTAAATTCAAAATTTGATACACCTTTATTTTGTTTGATAGCCGCCACTGAACCTAAACATTTACCACATGCCCTCCTCCCTGTTTACCACTATGGGACTATGCTATGAGAATCTGAGTAAAAAAAATGGCGAGTCGGAAAAGCAGTGCAAAATTGCCCTAGTCTAATAAAAACTGAAATGAAGCCACTGAAAATGAGTGCATTATCAAGAATACAAATAGGTATTGTTTTTCATGCAATAAAAACTATGACAAGAATCAACAATCGGCCCCGGGCCTGTGTCTTGCTGCCATAAAATGGATAAGTGTGTGATGTAATATTTCAATATAAGCCACCAATATGTAGTATATACAAACTACCAACATTAAAATATTTTAACAGTCTCATCCGGTGAACCACGATTGCGCCCAGCTTACCTTTTTCCATTCAAAAAACGCAATACGATTGCGCTCGACCAATTAGCACTGTCGCGCCATTCTATAACCTTTTTTACCTGCATAAAACGCAACACGATTGCGCTCTAATATATATATGTGTTTGTCCCGTATATGTATATGTTATATAACAATTTTCTAGTACACTATTTAAAAATACAGTCGGACTTGGTTTTCCTTGGTTTGTGCCACAAAATTGTAATTTATACATTTGTATTATTTTTATTCTTATTATTATTATGGTTAAAAAAATATTTAATTAGACATTTTTAATTAAAAAGAAATATCTATGCTAGAGCTACTATTAGAGTATTATTATTAAAAAAAAAAAAAAAAAATTGTAACTCAAAATTTTTAACCAAGCCAACAATTTAATTTTGTTGTCAGTCCTAAGCCTGTAAAATTGGGAAGGAAAATTATTAAGAGCGCAATCGTGTTGCGTTTTATGCAGGTAAAAAAGGTTATAGACGGGCGCAATATTGCTAATTGGTCGAGCGCAATCGTATTGCGTTTTTTGAATGGAAATAGGTAAGCCGGGCGCAATCGTGTTACACCCGTCTCATCCTCATGACATAATATTATGTATGATACTAGTTCTCTGAAAAATTTTGTTCATTGTAATTTACTTGACAATTGACATTGTACATTCAATATCACTTCCAAATGTTTTCCTACAGTATTTATGTTTTCCAAAACATAATATCATATCAAGTATCAACATCATTGATTAATTATTATCTAATATTATGTACAATGATGTGAATCTGTTAGCGTTTTCCACCACACCGCACTGACTGCACCAGTGCAATTTTTATGTTCCATCGGCAAAATGAATGTGCACTGAGTGGACTTTTTTATGTTTCACCTCAATATGCATGTCAGTTTTTTGCACCCAGTGACCTACATCAGTGTAACCTGGGTGCAACAATGTGTATGATGGAAAACAATTTAAATCGAGGAGAATTAGAGGGAACAATTGGATATGTGAAAACCGATTACAATGAACAACAACATCCGTCAAGAGGTGCTACTCCATGGTAATTAGTAGTTAGTTTACTATTTAGTGCGAGTGTTCCTCAGAAAATGCGATATGGGCGAACACACTCAAAAAGAAGAACTCTACAAGGGTGAATAGGGTTAAAATAAATATTTGTTTAATATGAGGGACGGCGCGTACGCAGTCCCAGCTACCAAAAATTATGCGTCCGAGGTATCCACATTAGGGATACTCGCAGGGGTCAACCAACTCTATGTGCAATGAGCAGGCCTCACCCTGGAGGAACCGCCTATTTGATCACGGTTGACCTCCACGCCAGGTAAGTATGCTTGTATTCCGTTTCCAGGGCCGTTATATGCCATCCGAGGTCCGCGGCGGCCCAGCATCCCGCGCCCCGCCATCACTGTTAGGGAGGGCTTCGGATGTGATATCCGATGCTCCGAGACCTTTTGCGTCACGTAACCCGTACCAGGGCGTTCTGTTTAGGACGTCGAGCTGGATGCGGTGCGTTTCGAGCGTACCGCTACTTGCAAAAACCGTCCGTCGTTCGGCGAACATTGACCCGTACCTGTTTAACGCCATCTGCCGGCGGTACCGGTACCATTGCAGAATCGTAGTCCGTTGGTCCGACGGTTGGCAAAACGGAACAAAACTCGGCCCGAGGTACGCCACAAGTGCCCGAAGGTACATTTTCGTCTTTCACACTGACCAGGTCTCAAATTTTACTGTTTGGTAACGTTCAATTCGTGCGTTCCAAGTACTATCCTTTACGCGTTCACCGTTTTCCGTATGCGAGTTTGTTGGTTCACCACTAGAGCGCGTACAGAGTATGTATTTCTTGTATACAGCTTAACGTCAAATCACCCATCGAGTTTTAAAATAAATAATTCGCGATTGAAAGGAAATATAAGTAGCTTTCTAGTCAATACTAATGATAAGGCTAAGGGGAACATGGTTGCCCGGCGGCCGAGACCCGTACTGTCTACCCTCTACAGTCTACTTACTACTTTCTAGTTTCTACTTAGTTTTCTAGTTTCCACTGCAAGCAATAGTTGATGATCACGCTAAGTTTATTGTAATAGACGTCAGAGATTATGGTCGGTCTAGAGATAGTGGGATTTCAAAGAATCCTTATTTCGTAAACAATTAATTCCAAATAAATTAGATTTGCCTGCACCCAAAAAAATTGATCAAAATATTAATGAAGATTTCCCTTTTGTATTTGTTTGCTATGAGGCTTACCCACATTTACCTAATTTTATGAGACATTTCCCTCGTAGAAATTTAACAAACGAAAAACGTTTATGGCATGTACAACAAACTATTGACAATCCCGAGCGAGAAGAATAGTCAAATGTGCATTTGGAATTATGGTAAAAAGGTTTAACGTATTAGAAAATAAAATGCTAATCAGACCTGAAAAAGCTACAAAAAAAATTCAGGTGATTTGTGTACTTCATAATTTAACTGTGACCAGAGAAGCTAACTTCCTTTGTACAACTCTTAATAAAACAGTTTTAAAAATAAAAAAATACGGTGTATAGAAAATGAATATATAAACATTCAGTTAAATTTTCATATATAGGTATACAGTTATCCGTTTTTTTTTTTTAATTACAACAAAATAAATGTAATTAATTGTATTAATTTCCTACCTATTTTAACACTGTGGAATAGAACAAGCCTTTTGGGTATTATTAATTAGTATTTTTGGATTACTATTAAGTTAATAATTATGATCATATACATACAACTAATAATATAATATTCATACAATATTACAATAAATTACATATTAATTCGTATTTCGTGTGTGGACTTGTAGTACTGTACTATACACATCTTCCCCGTTTTAATAGTTCTGATAAATTCCACAAGGTAGCGCCTGTTCCGCTTTCAATCGCGAATATCATATTATTAGTTTGCGTATTTGTGTCGTAGACGACTTATAACATTAATTAAAGCAATATCATTTACGGATTAATTTTGATTTGTGAGACAGAAAAAACAATACATTCTAACTAAAAATGATATAGACAAAATGACACTTGTCCACAGGAAATCATTGGCTCACCGAGTACATTGTTTATTGTTTTGTATTATATACCATATAGTTTATAGTTTATACATTAATAAACACCAATGTATTTTAAATGGCTAAATTAAAATCTGTGAATGTCATTGGACGAGTTTGTATTGCAATGACTAATCGATTCCTTTGTATCACGGGTCGTCACAATAATAACTAGAATTTAAATAACGTCGAGTCGTCACAACAATAACGTCGTCATTATAGTAAAATAGCAAGTTGCGGCAGTGAATGCAACTTTAGGAGAACTTTTTTCTTAAACTTTTGTTTATTTAAAATACAATTTACAATTATTTTTACAAAATATTACAATAAGCAAATATGAAAGTTTATGATGATTAAAATTACACTAATAATAGCATTTCAATCAGCCATTGACAACGCCTCTTTAAAGTTGAATTATATTAATATTATATTATATCTCTAAATCAATAAATTACGCTTTATGTCTGCGTGCCGAGTTTCTTCGAAGAGGGAAATTAATTGACTGCTATGCGTATTTAAATTTTTGGAGAACCGTTTTTACATTATTTGAGCGAGTTCAGTAACTCAAGTAAATGTATTTAACTTTAAGTCGTCATGTAGAGGAAGAAATGAAACTAACAAGGAGAACTTACCGTTAAATTATTGTTATAAGCTGGCATTTTTACTTACTGCTATTCGTCAATTGCAGTCGAGTGACCATGTTTATCCATCGTATTGTACATATTTTGTTTGTATAATTATTATAATATAAAACCATTTGTATTAGATTTGTGAACTTATATCCACAGACCACAATATTTAAAACAAACTAACAAACTAAACAACTACAAACACGTATTTACAGAGTGTTTCTGTTTACTTGGGTTCATAATAACTCATAACTTATGCCTAAGAGTGTCCAACAATAATATTCTAAAGGTCAAATGTAATTTTTTCATTTCATATATTATATCAATAAATGGTTGTTTTCAAACAATTGAAATATTTTTACATAATTGTTTGACGTTTAAAAATGTCGTTGTTTATACTCGTCAACACACGCGTCATTAACCACGTCATGTTGAACAGCTGCGGTGGTTCCACAAAAGTACATAACGGTATCGCCAAAAGTTCACCAGACCAGTAATTTTTATACTATACGGATCGTGTACCACTTGCCAGCGTATAAAATATTTTGGCAAGTTTTGAATGTTTCCACGTACCAATCTACATTTCAGGAAACGCAGCAAAGTCTAGTTTTAAATTTAGAGGACGGCGTGCGCGCGCCATCACCCAACACTCTCGATTTTAACGGCAGTGCGTGTATCGTACAATTCACTGGTCATTTGTAAACCACTCCATTAAACCGGGTGGTATGAACCCGGGCCGTGACAGTTAACCGGAATGTGCGTATAATAATAATAATAATAATAATATAGTATAATAAAACGCCTCGCATAGCAACTTTACAACAACGCAAAGTCGACGTGCCGCCGGTGCCGCGATTTACGAGACACTCGCGGCCGCGTTCGGTACTCGGTCCCCGCGACCGAACGTATTCCGCCAGCAGATGGCGGTGTTATCGCATCCCATCTGACTCGGATCACTGTCGACTTCGAGATTGCCGTTCGTGGACCGCGACCGGGACGCGAGCCGTCTACGACCATGGCACGACCGCCGTCTGGCCGATGACGATGGTCCTCTGATGTTAGGATATCTCGTGGACCAAGGCCCGGTGCTGGCGGAGGCGCTAAGTATTCATGGTTCTGTACCGGCGCGGCGGGCTGACCGCGTTACTTAATCGGTAACGCGATGGCTCTCGGAATACTTACTTGGTGTCGAGGTCAACCGTGATCAGCGAGGCGGTTCCTCTAGGACGAGACCGTTCCATTGCACATCGGGACGGTTGACCCCTGCGAGTATTCCAAATAGGAATATCTCGGGCACGTAATTTTTGGTAGCGGGACTGCGTTCGCGCCGTCCCTGATCATTATTAACTTTTAAAATCTCTCATAAAGTATCACAGAACTTCGAATTCCCAAAATCAGAGTGTCAAAAATACTTTGGGATTTGACTTCAGAGACAACATTTAAATATTTGAAGTTCAAGTTTTCGGTTATCTTTATATTATATTAATACGTCATCTTGATAATTATATGTTTTGTCACGATTCATCATTACTCATTAGTATGTTGTCATTTGCATAAGAAAGAATTGAATTTACTCGTCACACGTATCGACATTTTAGAATTTTTGTACTCGGACTGAATTACTTTTAAGGATCGAATTGTACAAAGGTGGTACAACTTGGTGATTGTATACCGATTAAATTTCTTTAATACTTGTCGCTATTTCATTCACGTACAAAACGCATTATTAAGTTATTAACAAAAGTATAATATATTTTGTACTGCAATTTAAAACCTACATCCAACAAATTCCGTGTTAAATCATATCGTATGTTATTATAAATGAAAAATAATATATTATTTACTTTCACGTTTTCCCTTTGGCCTTAGCCAAAACAATTTGAGTTGTTCAATATGTAAGTAATTTGCTAAGTCTTGCCAAAAACATGACTTTAACATTTTTAATGACATTATAAAATATAATGAACTTTTTTACTATAATAATAATATGTAACTTTTAGTCGTATTAAAATAATATAGGATTAGTAGTTGTTGTTGTTGTAAGTATCTCCTAGAGCGCGCTGTTAATACCAAAGATGAATAAAATATATTATCGTCAAAAGAATATAACACGCTAGTTTCGTGTAGGTAGGTATCAAAATAATTTGATAGTCAAATTATATTTGGTTGTTAAATTAAAACAACAAAATCCCCAAGTTCATCAAACTCAGTGTAAAAGAAAATAGGTAAAGTATTAATTAACATTATGCACATTACGTGGAATACAATTTTTTCACAATTACCATTTTGTTCCCTAACTTTTCCCTAGTTTTAACAACTATAATATTTGTATTTTTAATTTACAATACATTTCTCATTTTAATAAACACTGAAAAATAGTGAAAATATTCCAGGATAATTATGATTTTACCGCCTTAAATTAATTATTTTACTAACCTGTTAAAAATCGATATAATTAAAAATAATCCAGTATCTGATGGTAAAAAGAAGTATAATCTACGAAATTTAAGTTTAATTGTGATTAATGATTTCTTATTTATTTATGTCCATTCGGCCTATGGTCTATGCCCTATAATAGGTACCTAGTTAGTAGTTAGGTATTAATTTATTATTCATTATAAAAATGGAATATGACCGAGATTTGTCATACTACTTGCATACAAAAATAGATTTTAATTAAATGCCGCTAGGATTTTATATTTCTGGAAAATATTATGTTTGTAGTATGTTGCTGAACTTGAAAGTAGAACACATTGCTATTTTCGTGACTGCCGTTAAACGAATCTCATCAACTCACTAATCATTACGGTTTTGTGCAGTTCTAACACATACAATTATACAATTTCTTTATTTGAATAATTCTTCTTACATAATAACATACATTGAACACGAATGCACAATAAAATAATGGCCATTGGTTGGGTAAATAATTATTCTCAATACATCCAATTACTATTGTCTATTACAGTATACCTATTAGGTAGGTA